GGGGGGGGGGGGGGGGGGCACTAATTGAGGGCGAGTTTGCGGAAAGATGAGAGGAGGCCATTAAGTGCCTTGTCGAGAACCGGCGAGGATTGCTCCAACCCAAGATCGGCTGCCACACGATGAGCACAAGCCATACCTGAAAAGGCCACAGCATTTACCCCCTGACCGGGAAACGTCGTATCTCCTACACAGTAGAGCCCCTCTACAGCCGTCGTGTTAAACGGCATGCCTATAAGTCCCATAGGGCGTCGGTTCGGTGCGGGCCCGTAGGTTCCGTCCACCCTGCCCAGGTACCGGCGATGAGTCCTAGGCGTCCCCACCTCTCTGAACCTGGTAGCGGCCTTCAGGCCCGGGAACACGGCCTGCTCCAATCTTTGGACCAAGGAGTCGGCGACCGCCTCCTTCTTGGCGACGTAGGCCGACGGCGACAACCCTTGCCAGTCGTCGATGTACGACTGCGTGAAGATGTGGAACACGTGTCGATCAGGCGGCGCAACGGACGAGTCCAGCGCGGAGGGGATGCTGACGAAGATGGTGCCATAGCAAGCTTCGAGCTTGGACCAGTCTTCAAGCAGGATATGGTGGACGTCGAGTTCCGGCGGCAAGGCAGAAGCGTCGACTCCCATGTGGATGGACAAGAAAGAAGGGGTCATTCTGTACAGTTTCTGGAAATCCTGCTCCTCCTGTGGCAGCTCCTTCCCTCCAAACATTTTGCCGAACGTGTCCCATCTTGTGGCATTCGAGATGACGGTTTTCGCCCGAAACCGCCGACCATCCGACAGTCGGACGCCGACCGCCCTCTCCCCTTCCGTCTCGATCTCCACCACATTGGCCTTGTACAGCACACGCCCGCCGTACTCCTCGAACCCCTCCACAAGAGCGAGGGGAATCTTCCCCACCCCTCCGACCGGATACCGAACCCTGCCGTGATGCCGGTCGCAAACCACCATCCCACAGTTGATCATCGGCGTGTGCCGCGCACAAACCGTGCTGGCTATAAAGCACTCCATATCTATGAACATCAACAAAGTTGGGTCCTTTATATACTTCCTGGCAACGTCACCCGCGTTCTGAGGTGCGTAATATGCCAACTTCAGGCACGCTAACGGCTCCTTCATGAACTGTTTAAACAGATAGAAGGGTTCTTCTAAAGACTTCAGCTCTAGAGAATTCAAGGAGCTAAAGACCTTCCAGCACTCTCCGTAAAACTTGCGGATGCCCTCCCTCTCGTGAGGGAAGAGTGCCGACAACTCCGAGATGAACTCTTCGTACTCGGTAGAGACGTTGATTGACAACCCATTCGGCAGATGATAATGAACCTGGTGCGGATCAGAGACCACATCCAGTTTTTTACCGACTGCAGCCAGGGATCTCGTCAGCAGATTCGTTGTTCCCGATTCACCGAATCCGAACATCATGGAAGAACCCACATCAAAGGTGTAGCCTTCTCTTGAGAAGAAACCGGAGCTACCGCCAGGGATGATATACTTTTCCAAAAGCAGCACCTTGGCGCCTTTGGACACGAGCTGGGTGGCGGTCACTAGCCCGCCCATTCCTGAGCCTATGACGATTGCATCGTACTCTGTCTCGGCATCTTCTGAGCCTGTGACGGAGGAGGCTCGATCCCTCGCCGTCTGCTTTGGGGAAGATGGAGACGTGACCGCCGCCATAGCCGTCGTAGTCATAGCGCGTCCTCGGGAGTGTCGGCATCCCTGGGGAGGAGGAAGACGAGGGGTCTTTTTCTTTTTCGGAGATGAACCCCCTGCCCCTGGAATTGCTGTGATCGACGATGAGAGTTCTTCCGTACTCCTAAGTTGGCCCCCATCCTCCCAGATCAACGGCGCTCCGGAGAAGGACGAGGAGGAGGAGGAGGTGAGAGAGAGACGGACAGATCTCTCTCTCTCTCTCAACCGCCGCAGGCTGACATAAGCCGATGATGAGGTCGGGGTCGCAACCGCGCAGCCTCGTGGAGATGCGCGTGTACGCACTGCTTGCCCCGATGGACGGACGGCTGATTGCTCTGCTCGCTTGAAACTCGGCGCACAATGCACTATTTTGTCGCACACCTGGCAGCTGCCTATCGCACGCCTCGATAACACCGCCGCCATCGTTGACAGATCTTCAAAACATCCCAGACATAGTAGTTATATACACCTGGACACAACATGCGCACGAACACGCGCACAGCTTTGTCAGGGGTCTCGCTAACTCTGGGCGACGTGCTGAGTCCTTATCCATCAGGCAAATGCGTCCTGGGCAGACTGACAGTCAAGGTTCAACCTCCTGAAGAGTCCGTGAAAGTCCGACGATACCACGTGGCACAGTCGTGCTGTTTCTTGCTTCGAGGCCGGCGTCAAACATTATACATGCATATACATCTCTACACACACATATTTATCGTCAAACAGTATATCCACATACATATCTACATATCTGCATACATACATATATCGTCACAAACAGAACTGCCCGGTAAACCGTAGGCAGAGAGAGAGAAGAGGACAACAAACGAGGGGCTGTGACAAACTGTTTCGTCGGAGTTTCACCGACTCTTTTCAATATATCGTCACAAACAAAACTGCCCGGTAAACCGTGGGCAGAGAGAGAGAAGAGGACAACAAACGAGGGGCTGTGACAAACTGTTTCGTCGGAGTTTCACCGACTCATCAGGAGGCTGAACCCTCAACAGTCTGCAGAATCCCCTCACTGATTACACTGTAAATGATAATCTACCTTAACCAAAATCAAAGTAGACTATCACTCACCCACACCACAGACTTCGCGTGTGTATGCAATATATATTGCCACACTGTGAATCAGAGCGCGAAAGCGAAAAAAAGAAAAACAAGGAAATGAAAAGAAGGAAGGAAGGAAGGAAAGCCCCACCTGTTCATTACCTCTTACGTACAAGGCCAGCCACGTGGATGACAGGTTGAGCGCTGGCTGCCCCCATCCCCGTGTGTCACAAGGACCCACTTGCACGCAGCCAAAAGGCAAAAAAGAGGTAAAGAAAAGGAGGAAACCAGACCTCACAGAGTCAAGAGAAAGAGAAAGGGATCCAATCAAAGAAAAGACAAGGGAAGAAAGCGAATGACACATCCCACAGATAAACCAATTGCCACTGTCACTACAAGGTTCAACATATTCTTTTATTTTATTCTTTCTTTTTTCTTGTGTGTCTTTTTCTTTTCTTCAGAAATTTGTACTTTTTTTTTTCTTTCTTTCCTTTTTTCTTTCTGTTTCAGTTTTTGTCTTTCTTCTTTCTTCAACTCCACATCACATCTGTTGCTCCTGATCGCTTGATTCTATTGATCAGTCAGGAAGAGGAGCCCCCACCCCACCCTGGCAGGAGGATGACGTGGATGTTCACAAGGATACCCAAGGAGAGCTACTTCAGCACAGCATTCAGCAGGACGGCTAGCACGGACCATCCCATCAAAATNTTCACAAGGATACCCAAGGAGAGCTACTTCAGCACAGCATTCAGCAGGACGGCTAGCACGGACCATCCCATCAAAATCAAAACAGTCCTGACAAAGGACATGCTGTCCACATGTCAAAAAACAGCAGGACATTCATCACAGTGCGGCATCATGCAGTCCTGATAGCGTCCTTGAGCACAAAAGGGACAACGAATATCTGGGTGATAGGGATGTGTACAATGAGGAAATGTTGGACATCCTTCGGCACAGACGGCGGCGGCTGCAATAGATTGATAATGTTGATAGCATAGGTGATGAATTCCGCAGCCAAGACGCACCGCAACCCTGTCCCGACAGGTGTCACACGAGAATCGGTCAATAATCCAAAAAATAAACTACGATTCTGCAATGCACACAGAAATTCATTTATGTTGAAAATAGCCTGAAAACCAGCCGGCCTAGCTCAGTTGGTAAGGCACGCAAGTGGCATTCAGGAGGTCTTGGGTTCAATCCCCATCGACCGCCTCATGCACCTTCCTGGGCAAGCTTGGCGCCCGCCACCTAGAGATATGCCGTTGGTCCCCCCGAGTGGCATTGAGCAGAGACTGCTGATGTTCATAGGGGGAGGGGACCGGAGGGGAGGAGGCACAGTGACTGGCCCATCGAAGCAGATCGGTCCTGATGCTCCCGGCTGACACCTAGCCAGTATCGCCCACCTGCTGTAGCAGGTATCGCACCTGCTGGTGGGTGCAGCTCCCGCATGTTCCCTCGTCGGAGGCTTGACCACGGATGTGGCTGCTACGGGGTTCCCCGTAATAATACTATAATAATAATAATAAAGGCCTGAAAGGCCGTCCTGTCCAGATTTGACAGGTAATTGACTTGGTTGGGCTTAAAGAAATAGCCTTTTTTTTTTATATAAATATAGCCTGAATCATTATCCCACCATCCCACAGTTCCCACTGGGCAGCTGCACAAATGAGTGCCATATAATGCCTTGGGTCTGTGCAACATACAGGCAGAAATGTGCGGATGCTCATTAAGGTCATCGCCCTGGCATCGCATGATGCATAAGAAGGTGGCGACAGTGGAATGCTACCGGTAGTTGTAAGACATTTACAGTAATGCCCCTCCTGAGGTAGTATAATTATTAATTACTCCCTACCTTCAGGAGGTGGACCATTATGGTCATACAACAACTGATTTTCAACAGCATCAAGCTGATAAGCAATCGTGACAAAATGGGAAGCAGTATAACATGGACGCTGATAAGCCATTGAGGTAGGCAGACATTTGTGGCTGTCAAGCCACAAGTATTTGGTAGATCTGCCCGCAGATCCGATTTCGGTCACCACTGAAAAGCTAGGTCTGATCTGACGGGGTCGGCACATGAATGACGAACGCCGTCGACGTGGCAAAGCAGGCTGTCGGTAAGACAAAGAACCTGCCAACGTGGCAGATTAGCATCAACACGGCGTCGAGAGGAAGGGGGAGGACGAGGAGAGAATGAACGAACCTGCCGACGTCCCAATATAGACAACGAAGACAAAGGAGGGGGCCGACCTCAGCCGGCGTGGGGGGGTAAAAATGAAGAAGAAGAAGAAGAAGAAGAAGACGAAGACAAAAGAAACGGGTGATGAAGGAGTAGAAGAAGAGGAAGTAGAAGAAGAAGAAGAAGACGAAGAAGAGGAAGAGGAAGAAGAAGAGGAAGAAAAAGAAGAAGAAGAAGAAGAAGAAGAAGAAGAAGAGGACGCTGGCAAAGAGGAAAGAGATGGAGATGGAGGGAGAGGGAGAGGAAGGCGGAGGAGGGGGAGCGGGAAGGGGAAGGGGAAGGGGAAGGAGGAGGAGGGGGAGGGGGAGAAGAAGGGGAAGTGCCCGGTCTGTTTGACGGTATATATATCGTCACAAACAGAACTGCCCGGTAAAACCGTAGGCAGAGAGAGAGAAGAGGTATATATATATATTGTCACATTGTGAATCAGAGCGCAAAAAAGGGAAAAGAAAAAAGGAAAAGGAAAAAAGGGGAAGGGGAAGGAGGTAAGGAAAGCTCC